ACTTTGTAAACTCCTTGAAAATAGTGTTTTATTTTCTTCATCTCAATATTGCCAGTGCCTATTAGAATTTTTTGCCCATAGAAATGCTCAATAATGTTTTGCTAAAAGAGTAAATAAATGATTAAGGCAGTCTTCATCTCTTGACAAAATTAAAAATTATAAAAAAAATTATGTTATAGAAAAAACCCAGACTATTCCCACATTCAACAAAGAATGGCAGAGGAGGAGGAGATAATGGGTACAGACAAGGTATGTGGTACATTTGCACATCAAGCAATTTTTAATAGTGAAATGAAGCCATGTCACAGATAATCCACTCAAATTTCCATGACTGGCATGTACATAGATGTTAAATAGGATTTTCATTGCTATCCTAGGAATTTAGTCCCTTAAATATAAGAATTAAATTTCAGAGTTCAGTCTAAATAGCTATGAAGGAAAATAATATTTAGTCCTGGCTCCTACTTTCCTTTATTCTAATGAGAAATAATTTATTTTTTAGTTAAGCTCTTTTTTCCCTGAGTGAGACCATGTCTCCAAACATGCTATTTTTATAAACTTTGTAAGGATTTAGGCTTATATAGCTTCCTTCAGGCATCACTGCCCTCAGAAATAATTATTAGTGGATGGGGACATCAAGGAATTTTATATAAGATTTTCTAATGATACGTTGCAAATCATTCTTTAAAAGACAAGCACTTAGCTTTACGAGAAATTGGCCCATATCAGATCTTTGCCCTTTACATTCTGATTTTCGAATTTAATGATTCTGAGTAAAACGTATGACTTCAAGTAGTTGAAATATACCTGGTTGGCATTATTTACCTCAGCTAACAACAGCAATTCTTTTACTATGTAGATTTAAATACAAAGTGTTTTTAAATCAACCGTTTAAATTTAGTCATATAATAATTCTCTGGAATAAGTAGTTTACTCCTTAGTCTCCCCATTATGTACTTAATAAAATTTAAGCAAATTTCCAATGATCATCCGATCATTAAATGGTGGAATCAAGCCTGTAAATTTGATGATTCAGTTTCAAATACAGAATACTTTCCATTATCTCAAGCTCTCTTTCAGTTTCAATTACACAGTTCATTGTATAAAGGAAATATTGTGGGTTTTGGTTTTTCTTATTCAATGCAGTAATACCAAATAAATAAAACAGAAAAATAATAAAATAAATATGGGAGAGTGAGATATGATACAGGTAGGGAGCAAAAGAGTTCTATTTTTTAACTATAGGACTGCAAACTTGAATAATATATAAAATTCCCAATACAGTTAAGGGACAAATGACTTTAGAGGACCTGAAGTAATAAGAGTTAAAGTGGATACAGTTGACTGCAATAAGGTCTTTCTTATTTTTTTATATTTTTTTTTTCTTGGAGTTTCTGAGCCCAAGAAAAGAAGATCTGATAACTGAGCAGAGGCTGAGGCAAGCTGGGCAGTGCTGATTAAACTAGTGTGTGAAGTACAGATCTGCCCAGAGCTGATAACCATTACCAAAGGCAACAGCTCTCCAAATTATTCCCACCCTTGAAAACGAAATATAATAATTCTCTTTAAGAATTCTCTTTAATGAAGCTGTCTTTGAGCAACTCTAGCTTTGTCTGTAACCTCTCAGCATCCCTTTATGTATAGTGCAACATGCAATTTTGTAGATTGTACACGATTCTATACCTCCATGGTATATGTCATGTATTCTTTACCTGTGTCTCCTCTAATCAGGGTCTTTGTGTGGTCAGAGCTGGTAAGCATTCTCGGAAAACAACAAAAGTGGCAAGAAGTTCAGAGGTCCAAGTATTAAGCCACCAGGGTTTAAGATTTTCTCATCATGTCTTTCTATCATTCTGAAGGAGACACCCTGATACTCATAGTAATACTGGTAAATAGTGCTCAGAGACTGGAGAAACTATGTCAATCTAAAGGGACTGAGAAGATGGCAGGGGGGGAGGGTGTGGCGGGGCTGAATTTAAAGTCAGCAGCTGCCCGAGGATCAGCCTGAGTGCTGTTAGAGAAAGTTTTACACTGAATCTCTTGGCTGCAATGACTGAAAACACAAAGGACACTTGTCTGAATATATAAAACCTCTTCTCTGTCTCCTGTGCACTTCCACACTGCTACCTGTTCTGAAGACTATTATTCTTATCCACTTTTATTTTATTTCATGACGACTAGTTCTGCTGATTGGCCCCTATTATTTCTTTGGTCACAAGGTTATCACATGGTTGGCACTCTTGGTGAGAATATCCTGGATTAGAACAACCAGAAATGTTGATGAACTAAAAGAAGATTGACTAAAATAGTTGAGGAGCAGAGAGGCATCATGGTCATACTGACTTGAGTTTGACTCTTTGTTTAAATATTTATAGACCAAACAACCATGGGATGAGACTACCTCTCAGAGACTGTTTTTTCATATAAAAATGGGGATGAGAATACCTGCTTCACAGAATCTCCTACAGATTGGGAATTAATGTAAATTAATCATGTCAATACGTGAATTAAGATATGGTAGATTGTAATTGATGATTCTTAGCTCTTGGATAAAGATTAAAAAATGTCCCCTCTCCAATCCAATTCCAGATAAAGGTTCCTTGGTGCGTGTGATATAACGTATTCTCTAAGATTTGTGTTCCTGCCTTTAGTACCCAAATTTGACTTGAATATAATGAAACTATATGGAAAAGCAAAGTAATACTAGACTTTCAAAAAGAGAACTTAGAAGTCTCTCAGTTTCTTTGGATGAGATGATCCAGGAACAGGGAAAATCAGAACTGTAGACCCTTGATCTAGACCGTGAAAGCTAGATCATTCAAATCGAATTTACACTGAAATAAAATTTGGCATGTTTAGCCTCACAGCTTTGTAGGGGGATTGGAACCATCCCACTACTTTCTTTTTGTTTGTATGTTGCATTTTTGTAAGGTTGTCTAAAAGGACTGTGCTTTTGGATTCTGCATTCTTTTTCTCCACTAAAATTAATACACAAAATAGTATGACTTTTACCTCACATTTTAGAAGTCTGTCCCATTTTCAAATGTTTTGTGACTTCGTCAGTTTGTCAAATAAGATATCCTAATTTTTGTTTCATGAAATACAAATAAATACACATATATCCTACTTCTTTTGTTCCTTCCATTTAAATGATTAGGGCACAGCTAAAAAATATTTTTAAAAACCTAATCTGTGAGACCAGGAATAAAATCTTCTTCCTATTTTGACAAAGACTCTACAGCAAGAATTAGGATATCTTGTTGACTTAAGGGCTGTTAAAAATCTGCATTTGTGTTTCGCTGAAGTTGTTGAGTTATATTTCCTAGAGATC